TTTGAAATAACTAGACAGTATACACTTGGAATACTGCTGCAGTGTAGGAAATGATAACTTGGTAGACTTGGGAAAATATGGAAAGACTTGGACTTATGAAGGAAGAGGTATGTATGTATGTATTTGTGTGTATGTATGTATGTATGTATGAATGTATTTCTGTGTATCTCCTTGATTAATAGTAGCCTTCTTTGTGGGGGAGGAAGGGGGGGAAAGAACAAAATAAAAAGTGCACAGCAGAGAACAAAAGAAACTTACAAGGAAGCAAAGATGGACAGCTTTTAACACAATGCATAGCATTTATTAGATAAGCTTTCTTGAAATGAAATGCATTTCTTCCTCACCTCCCCTGCTTAGAACTCCAAGATCCATCAAAGCCCAAATCAACTGTCATTTCCTGATTTTTCCCAATTGTTAGTGTTACCACCAGGACTGTAATTACTGAGCTTCAGGGAGAAGGACCTCTGGCAGCAGAGAAGAGAGCCAACTATGGACTTAACAGAGGACAATCCCCAGCAACTCGGCATCACGCTGTGGCAAGGTGAGGACTCTGGGAGTCCGGCTGACACACTGTACCCTGGGTGGACAGTGGTGTGGGAGGGGAGGGAGCATCCCCATCATGTTGCCAGGATGGATTGGATGGAGTCTGGACGGGACTAGGGGAGAGACTGGAGGCAGGGAGACCCCAAAGGAGGCTGCTGCCATAGTGCCCAGGAGGGATGAAGAGAGCCTGCCCAGGGGCTGCCAGGCCATTAGAGAGGAGAGGTGTGTGCCACCAGTGACAGTGAGAGCTGGCATTCCTGCACCCAGCTCCCCAGGCTGTCCTTGCATCCTTTGGTGCTCTTCGAAAGGAAAGAGCTGAAAAAACCCAATGCGCTCAGGGGCCTCATAGCTCAGCATCCAGACTGGAGTGCCCCTGTAAGGACTCCATTTCCCAGAATGCTTGTGCTGTGACATCACTCTCACCTCAGGGGGCCTCTATAGAGCCCCAGGGCATGCAGGGAATCTCAGGTTGTGCAGGCATAGAAGGTGTCAATGCTCAGGCACAGCCAGGCTGTGTAAGAACCCCACCCCACCTAAGGTGGCACAGAATTCTAAGTAATATTCAAATGTTTGAGTGAAATAAAGGGCCGCTAGGGGGCGGTGGAAGGAGCAACACTTGGAACCAGGGAGCAGGGCCGTGGAGAATTCCAATCCAGCCTGGAACCCTGGGTGAACCACAGCACCTTGGGCCTCAGTTTCCTCATCTGTCAAATGAGCCAAGGAAGGAAATGGCAAACCAGTCCAGTATCTGCCCAGGAAACCCCACGTAGGGCCTGAAAGTGAGCACCAGCAAAATCAAAGAATAAAGGAAGGTCAAATTAGAAGAGAAATTGCGGAGAGGAAAATATACCAAATATTACCTGGAAAAGCCATTTATATGCAAAATATGGAGAGATCCCCTGCTCATGTGCACCAGGGGCCACTGCCAACAGATGAGAGCTAAAAGGATGGGAAGCCCTGCCATGTCCTGCCCCCGAAAATGATCCAAGTGGTGTTAAAAAGATAAAGTCAGATTCAGAGAATTTTGTCATTTCTCGGCATGCTTCAAAACTGGCAAAAAAAAAGTGCCATCAATATTTAAATTTTTATTTTGAAACCGACAAATATGAAAAAAGGAATATTTTATAAACACCATAAAACTGAAAGAGGATTGCACATGAAACAAGTTCTAATGTGCACAGCTTGATTTTCCTTTTCAGTAATTAAAACATTCAACATGGCACTTGCAAAGCTATCCTCACTCCCTCTGATTTCCTTCTGTTCTGCTGCATATATTATTAAAATCCATCAATTGCCTTTATTATTTTTTGGAGGGTGAAGACAGGGGAGAGAAAAGTCCTATTACTAGTCCCCTTCAAACTACAATTCTCTCCTACCCAAAATTGAAAAAGAAAGTGGTAAAGAAAGCAGCAGCAAGCAAAATCAATTCCCACACTGTCCCTTTCCCAAAGTGTACTTTTCAGTGTCCATTTTGTATCCATCAGCTCTGACCACGAGAGAGGCTTTGTAACTGCCCTGCTGTAGTGGTTGATCATTATAATAATCACAAGTGTGGCATCTTCCAAAGCTGTTGGCCTTCACGATTCTGTGAGTATCACCAATTACACCCTGCAGTCAGTCTACAGAAGTTCAGACAACTCTTCCAAGGCTTCAGTGAAGTGTCCACGTCTTTTCACAGCACATTCATGTTCCACCATCCACGTGCCAAAATTTGTTCAGCCATTCTTTACACAGCTGCCTATAATCAGGATTTCCTTTTTTTGTATCTTGGACAGGAGGCCTTTAGGAGGGAAGCTTGCTGCAAATCTTTTCCCAGTTAATTGTTTCCCCTCAAATTTTAGAAGCTTTGGGTGTTTTTGTGATAAAATCGACCATTTTCTATGATCTTTGTCCCTTGTTTGGTGATGAACTCTTTCACTATTCAGAAATGTTTCTTCATGGTTCCTTTAATTTACTGAGGTGTTCTTTCATAGCTAACTAATGAATTCATTAGGAACTAATCTTGGTCTATACTGTGAGATGTTAGCCTTATGCAGTACCTTAGGTTTTTTTTTAAGTCTTTACTTTAGGCAATTGGGGTTAAATGACTTGCCCAGGGTCACACAGCTAGTAAGTGTCAAGTGTTTGGTCTGAGGGCAGATTTGAACTCAGGTCCTCCTGACTTCAGGACCAGTGCTCTATCCACTGCGCCCCCTTGCTGCCCTAGTAGCTTAGTTTTTATAATCACTTCTAGTCCTGGGGTATGGGGATGGTGCCTCTAACCTCAGATCCTGCTTCACCTCTTCCCTTTGGCCTGGAACTGGAACCAAGACCCCCAACCTCCTCTAAGTGCCCACAGCCAGCAGCCTCCCCAACCCACTGCTTCTTCATTCACCAGGAGAGAGCTGGTTCCTTCTCACTTTCTCCTTCACACTTCATCTCTGCAGCACTGGGTCTGGTGTTCCTGGTCAGCAGAGGTTCCCTCCATCTTCTGGCTCAGAGCCTGACTCCACTCACTGTGTGTGTGTGGGGGGGGATGGAGGGTGTACAAATTCCTACAGGCTGGGGCTGAGCAAGCCTCCTAAACCAGCTAACCCCAGGGCTTGCCTCTTGTAGTTTAAGCAGATCTACGACCTAGCCTGGAGGTGCTTACTCTTCACAGGGACCAAACCTCAACCTGGGACTTTTCTTCAGATCTTCTTCAATTGTCCCAGGAGGACCTGCTGTTCTGCCCCTACTCTTATTTATTTTTACTGCTCAATATTCACCCTGAGGCACTATTTCATCTGTTTTGTGGGGGGGGGGATCTCCAGAGCCTGGAAGTTTCTGACCTACTTTGCCATTGTCCCAGAATCCTCTATGGGGAAGCATTTTCATACTGATTACATCCATAAAGATTCTCTTTTGTGTGGATTCTCTGATATACAGAAAGACTGGAGCAATAAGTGAAAGCTTTTCCACACTTAATACATACCTAAGGTTTCTCTCCAGTGTGGATTCTCTGATGGGCAGAAAGATTGGAGTTCCACTGGAAAACCTTTCCACATTGATTACACTCATAAGGAATCTCTTTTGTGTGGATTCTGTGATGTACAGAAAGATAGAAGGAAGTAGTGAAAGCTTTTCCACACTGATTACATTGATATGGTTTCTCTCCAGTGTGGGTTCTATGATGTGTATCAAGAACGGACTTCTTTGTAAAAGCCTTTCCACACTGATTACATTCATAAGGTTTCTCTCCAGTGTGGGTTCTCTGATGTGTATCAAGAATGGACTTCTTTGTAAAAGCCTTTCCACACTGATTACATTCATAAGGTTTCTCTCCAGTATGGGTTCTCTGATGGGCAACAAGATGGGAGTTCCTTCGGAAAGTCTTTCCACATTGACCACATTCATAAGGTTTCTCTCCAGTGTGGGTTCTCTGATGTGTATCAAGAATGGACTTCTGTGTAAAAGCCTTTCCACACTGATTACATTCATAAGGTTTCTCTCCAGTGTGGGTTCTCTGATGGGCAGCAAGATGGGAGTTCCTTCGGAAGGTCTTTCCACATTGACCACATTCATAAGGTTTCTCTCCACTGTGAATTCTCTGATGGCCAATAAGGACTGATTTGTAGAAGAAGGCCTTCCCACATTCATTACATTCATGAGGTTTCTCTCCAGTGTGGGTTCTCTGATGTGCATCAAGATAGGACTTCTGTGTAAAAGCCTTTCCACACTGATTACATTCATAAGGTTTCTCTCCACTGTGAATTCTCTGATGGCCAATAAGGACTGATTTGTAGCAGAAGGCCTTCCCACATTCATTACATTCGTAAGGTTTCTCTCCAGTATGCATTCTCTCATGGCCAATAAGCTGTGATCTGTAGCAAAAGGCCTTCTCACATTCGTTACATTTATAAGGCTTCTCTCCAGTATGAATCTTCTGATGTCTAACAGGATCTGAGTTCAAATGAAAGGCCCTCCCACGTTGATTGTATGCATGTGTTTTCCTTCTAGTATGAAATCTAGGATGGTAAGGAAGAGAAGATTGATGGGTTAAGCTTGTTCCACTTGGATTCCATTCATGAGGTTTTCTTCCAGTGTGAATTTTGTGGTGGTTAATGATCTTAGATTTCCAGCTGAAGGCCTTTCTTCCTTCATTACATATATAAAGCTTTCTGTCAGTATAACTTTTCTGATGCCCAGTGAGGTCTGAACTCAAGCTGAAAGCCAGTTTTTGTTGATGACTTTGATGTCTTTGTATTTTAGGAGGCTTCTCATGGGACTGAACGAGCTCTCCCTGTTCAGGAGAGCATTCCCCATATCTACTGTACTGAAAACATTCGTTCCTTGGGGTCATTTTCTTGCAGTGATTCTGGACTGAATACTGTGTGAAGAAGCCCTTTCCAACTTCATTGAATTCACAAGGATTCTTTGGATTTTTATTAGCCCCGATACCAGCGGCACAGCTGTCTTTCAAATTAAAGTCAAAAGAACCATCACTCATGCATCGTAGCCGGCCAGATTCTTCCACAGAAATACTTGGGTTTCTAGAAGTCACCTTCACTTCAGACCTGGTCACTGCATCTGAACAGACAACCACATATATTACAAACACGCACACTGATCAATATATCATCTTCCCTCCAGTGGCAGGAAGGAAACTGATTTATGTTCTATTTCCCCAGTCAAAAAGAATTTTCAACCCTTAAGGGGCAGATTCAATCACTTGAAAATGCCATTACCTCACATCCACCATACGATTTAATTTACAAGGAGCTTCATCTACAATAACGCTGGATCTCCAGAACAGACCTAGGATGCCATCAGGGTAGGGTTCTCATTACACTTCACAACTCAGTCCATGAGCTTTGGATGGCTGAGTGAAAGACTCAAAGTTATTCAGACAAACAAAGTAGGAGGAAATTCCTTATCTACCTAGCAGCAATCAACAGATCCCTTGGAAAGTCTCTGAGGTCCTCATGACTTGCATGTCCTGCCTTCACAGCTCAGAATGGCTGAGTGACCTGACCCATGTCCCTGTACCTGAGACTAGAACTCAAACACTATGGCTATTTATACTCCTTCCACAGCACTAGATGGCTTTTCTTCATCGCACTTTCTATATTTTCTCCAAATGCCTTTTCTGTTACTTATTTTTTCAATTTCAGGTCGTCTTCTTGCTTTTTTGTACCAATCAGTTTTCATTTGCTACCACAGGGTCATTCTTTATAAATTCCATACACTGTTGAGAAATAAGTTTCTTCTTTTTAACTGTCACGTAATAATATTCAATGTTACATACAACTTTTCTTATATTAGATTAAAAACAATATTTTCCTATTTGCTGCACATATAATGAACATCCATAATATTTACCCATTAAATTATTAAGCGTAATGATTTCCTTAGTGAATCCTTCAAAATATTTTTTTCTGTTGCCTTGTATGGGACCATAACATGACTTCCAAACATTTTTTAATTCTCCTGAATTATAATACATTCTGTTTCGGCACATCAGTTCTATAGGATAGCCATTATTCATGTATTTTCTAAAATTTCTTTCATTGATTACAAAACTTACATGATCAGGCCTATAATTGTTTTGGTGTTCATGCAGTTATCTTATCAAACTGTGCCCTCCTGACAAAGTACAAAACATTCTTTCAATTTCTCAAGCTGACATCAAATTGTTTCCAAACGATTAGAAAGGTTTCACATATAAGTGCAAATCGATTGGCAGTGGATGGTCAGAGAAATGCACAGGCCCTCATTTGCTTTTTGTACACTGTACCAGAGTAATTGCCTCATTCCAAGGTTACCTTGTAATCTTATCTCAATAGCGCTATAATTGCTACATCAAGATTTTATAAATGTTTGTGTTTTTCCAGTGCAGATGGCAGGCTCTTTGAAAATATCTTTGAAAATATCATGAACCTTTACACATATTCTACAAAAACAAACATTACATTTCTTCTCATTGCAATGTTAGGGTTACTTTCTGATTTGAACTTATTTTCTGTTTATGCTACTACTCTTCCACCTCTTGGATTTTCAAGAAAACTGCTGAGCAGCACAGGTCAGTCATTCTACAGAATTTCTAAAAGAGTATAGCCCATCTGCCAGTGGTAGAAAGAAGAAAGTTAGGTCTGAAGAGGTCTTTCCTTATAAAGGTTGTTTTTATTCACATAATACACTACTTGTCATTAGCCAATAGAAAAATACATCTTTTACATAGCTACTAGTCATTCATTTTTTTGACCAGTTTGGGGGCTAAAAACAAAATATGAATTTCCATCTCTCAACAAGAAAGCTTATAAAATTCTACCCCCCCATTTTCTACTTTGTCCATATATGAGGGAGCATTTTTATTGTAATCTGGTAAAAAAAAAATCAAAAGACTGGTAGTAGCACATTGAATAGAAAATTGAACTTAGCAGTCAGGAAAACCTGAGTTCAATTTCCAACTCAGACACTTGCTAGCACTGTGATCCTGAGCAAGTCACAACCTTTGCCTGTTTCCTCAGTTGTAAACTGGAGACAACTCTACCTACCCTTAGGCATTTTTGTGAGGATGAAATAATATTATGTCTATAAAGCAGTTGGCCCAGTAACTGGCACATAGCAGGCATTATATAATTGCTGGTTATTATTATTTTTGTTATTAATTATTAAATCAACTTGATGCAGATCCAAATTAAAGATGGGTTTCTGAGTTATGAACCAAATACTGCGGCCTTTGTTCAGAGAATGAAGTCCAACTTTGAAATGAAATTTGTATATTATATTATGTTGAACATCTTCCAAATGGTAGTTTATAATTAAAAATTCCATGCCTATTGAACAAAAATCATTAAAATAAATAAATTAACATTGAAGTCTTGGAGGTAACAGTAAACATGAGGTCTCTTTCTAAAAAAAAGAATCTTCTAGAAAGCATCATATTAAAATTATATAATAGAAAGTAGAATAAAATTATATATTTTATAATTGTACAATGAAATGAAAGTATTAATTTGTAACTTTAGTGGTAAAAGTTTTCCAGGTTATTCTCATTAAATAAATTCCAAATTCAAAATAAAAAAGCATAAATTTAAAATATTATGAATAGTATATTAAATCACTAGGGAGCTTCACAACATAATTTGTTCCTGAAAGGAGTTCTAAAAACAAAAGATTGGGGGAACTACTACTCTAGACTATCTTTGTTCATTGCCTGGATCAATGTTCCTAAAGATTAAATTCTTTTGGTTCTACTCACTTCTGCCTACATCAGTTCAAAGAGTTCTTCAGGGGTTTCTCTGACACTGCCTTTCACCATTCTTATGGCTCAATAATTTTCCATTATATTCTTACATCATCATTTCTTCAGCCATTTCCCAATCATTGGCGTTATCTTCATTTCCAGATCTTTACAACAACAACAGAAGCTGGGGCAGATAGGTGGTGCAGTGGATAGAGCCCTGGCACTGGAGTCAGGAGGACCTGAGTTCAAAATCTGGCCTCAGACACAGAACACTCACTAGCTGTGTGACTCTGGGCAAATCACTTAACCCCAATTGTCTTACCAAAAAAATAAAAACAAAACCAAAAAACAGCAGCTGTATTTTTGTGTTGTGTAAATACACATTTAAACAAAGTTTTCCTCTTTCTATGATCCCTTTAACATATACATCTAGAGTCTAGTGGTTGTCATGGGATCAAAGGGCACAGAATTGACTGAGCTTAGGGGCAGGGTTCCAAAAGATATCACAGAACGCCGTTCTTTCATTTTCAATACTTTGTGATTCTTTGAATCAAGGTTCTTTTATACATACAACGTGTTGTCTGGTTCTGCTTTTTAATGCATTCTGCTACTCTCCTCTGTTTTTATAGGGGCATTCATCCCATGTACATTTTATTGTAAGAATTAATTCGTTTTTTCCATGATATCCTCTGATCTTTCCTCTTTATCCCTTCCTCAGTGCTTAGAAAGAAAAATGAAGTGGGAGAAAGGGATGGAATGAACACTAGTAATGGAGCATTGAGATGGTGTGACCCCACTTCTCACCCCACCTTGTCTTCCATCCATCCCAGTCCCAGCAGGAACACTCCCTTAAATGTCTCTTATCCATTTTTCTCCCTGTTGGAAGCTGCCTCTGTGGTGCAAAGTTATTTTCCACCATGAGGCAGCTGGGGGGCACAATGGACAGAGAGCTAGACTCAGACATTTTCTACCTGGGTGACTACTGGGGCAGTCACAGTACCTGTGTCTGAGACATCTGTTAAAGCTCAACCCAGGCTTACAACTTCCAGTATGGCAGTGGACTTCATTCCTACCCACAGCGAGCTGAATGGAGATAGAGAAAATCATGAAACAGGGCTGCCTGGCTCACTACAAATTTAGTTTACTCAGCTGTGTGCTTACTGTGCAAAGGAGTTTTTCTTTTTTTTACATCTCCCTAACTGCCTCCCTCTCCCAGTCACTAGAGTAGCTTTTCCACATCTCTTCATTCCTTCCCAAACCACTTATTTGACTTGCTTCCCCAACACTCTCAGCTCAACACATGGCCTCATATTTTTCTAAAAATATTGGACATGTCCAAGAGTTTTCTCATCTCCTCCTCATCTTGCATAAATCAGATGCCTTCTTTTCCCCTTTTCCCTGCTCTCACATGAAGAAGTGGCCCCTCTGGTTGCCAAGGCAAATGCCTTTACATGCAGAAATGGACCCAGTTCATGCCATCTTCTCTCCCAGCTTACTCCCTTCACTGTCATCCCCAGTTTTTCTCTAATTTTCCATCTCTGTTTGTTTACTGGCTCTAAGTGGAGTTTCCAACCTTTTTCCTCCATTCTCTTCCAGACTCTGCTCCCCAGCTTCCAATGTCATTGCTCAGCTGAAACCACTCTCTGCAGAGCTACCAAACATCTCCTGATTGCTACTGCACTGGTTTTTCTCAATGCTCATCCTTCTTGACCTCTTTGCAGTCAATGCCACAATCATCCCCCTTTCCTGGATTTTCTCTTCTCTCTGGGTTCTGGTAACAACACTTTTCCTCCTGAAGCAATTCAGGTTAACTGGCTTGCCTGAGGCTGGATTTCAATTCAGGTCCTCCTGAAACACTGTGCCACCTAGCTGACCTGGTGAGAACCCTTTCTCTTGATTCTAGGAATTCCAAAACTAAAGTCATTATCTTTCCCCCAACATTTCCCTCTTCTTACTTCCCTATTACTCTCACCCTCCCAATTATCTGGCCTCATAACCTAGATTTTTTCTGTTCTTCATCATCTCTCACATACTCACACTTCACACCCCCAATTCAACCTTACGTGAAGTATTATTGATTATGCCTTTGTAATATCTCTCCCATACCTCCCCTTGTCTGCCAACTTTGCCACTTTCTTTGTTCAGGCCTGAATTGCCTCATGCCTGGATTATAATTCGAAGAGTCTTCTGGCTGGACTCACCCACTCAGTCCACCATGGAGCTGTCAAACTCATCTTCCTAAAACACACCTCTCTTTATTTCATTGACTATTCGATAAACTCCATAGCCAACTATTACCAGGATCAAATATAAACTCTTTACCATGAGAGCCAAATATAAAATCCTCCTGCTTGGCTGGAAGGCAACTGAAAGGCCATGATGTCCAAGCACCTCATTTTACACGTGGGGAAACTGAAGCTCAGAGGTTCAGTGACTTGCCCAGGATCACTTTGTTAAAAAGTATTTAAAAAACAATTCCAAGTCAGGTCTTCTGTCCCCTAGGCTGGCACTCCCTTTATTACAATATAAATCACTTGTTAACAACCCTCACACACTTGCTTTCATCTCACTCACCTGGACAAAAGTTCCATGGGCCTTTTGGTTCCAGAATCCATGGTGCTTCCCCTTTCTGAAAGAAGGAGATCAGATCTTCTCTGGTAACTGGAAGCCCTAGGCATTGGGAACATAGAAAGGATGAGAATGGAGAGAAATTTATAATTTGGTCCTCTTTAGGGAAAGGGGACATGTAAGCAAGGACCACAGGATGGTTCCCAGAATTCTTCAAGGATGGTTTCCATGATATTGATGGTTGGGATCTTTGGAGGAGGGACTGTGGGGTGATGCAGCCAATTGGGAATCAGAAAATGTCATCTCTGTTCACCCCTTTCATAGAAGAATGGATACACTCCATAGCTTCCATTATTTAGAAATTAGAGGCACTGGTAGTGCAATGATAAGAGCCCTGGGATGAGTCAGGAAGGCTTGATTCCAAATCCCGCCTCAGATGGTAGTAGCTGTGTGTCCCTGGGCAAATTACATCACTTCTGTGTGCCTCAGTTTCCTCAGCTAAAAAATAGGGATGATGATCGTACCAAACTCGCAGAGACGTTGTGAGGATCAAATGAGAAAATACTTAGAAGTTACTGAGCACAGTGCCTGATGCACAGTAGATTTATGCAAAAGGTTATTGCCTTCCCTTCTTTTCCCACCACCAGTGCTGGAATTTGAGGGATCAAGGAAGGAGAAGAAAGATAAACTTGCTACACTAGTGAGAAGATTAAATCGATTCAGCATCATTTATTGATCCCATCTACAATTCCTTTATTTTGTCCTGTAATTGCTAAGTCATGGTTCTTTCTCTGAACTTAGTTCAGAATTCAGCAGGTCTCTAATGAGTTAACTTTAAACATCCAGCTCTCCAGCTCATCACAGATCCATTCTTGCCTCCAGGAATTTAACTGTCCTTGAGGGACCTCTGTGAATACCAGGCTTTGGGGCCTAATCTCTTTAGGGCACCAGACCCTCCTTCCAGGATGTCCAACATGTCTGCTGTGTTATCTCTAAGATCTTGCAGGTGCTTCAAGACAAGAAACATTCCTTAGTCATGGGGAAGAAGGAGTGGCTTTTTGCCAGCCCTTCACTCCCAAACTTCCAACCCACCCCATTGGTCCCTGTGCCACAGCTTTGAACCCAGTTATGTTGGTTTCACTCCCATGACACTATCTTCCCGTTCTGCTCCTTGTCCTCTATTCCCCAAAACCTATAAAAGGGGAGCTGACTGTCTGCTTGGGATCTTTGGCCAGAGGCAGAGCCAGGACCCTTTTAGTAGCAGGCAGTGTGCCCCTGCTAAGAAAGGAAATCTTGCTCAGAAAATTGCCTCAGTTCACCTTATTGTTGAATTTCACACCCAACACTAGCCAGGATTAGGAGCACTGAGCTACCAAATAATGCTTGTTAACAAGAAGACCTTTCTAAACCCTAGACCCTTCCCAAAAAGGAAGGGTTGCCCTGGCAGCTAGGGGGTTCCTTTGCTGCCCATCTTCAAGGAAAAGCTGCATGAGTGGTTTTCAGAGATTTCTCAGGCAAAAACTAGCTCCACTTAGAGGTTAGACTAGATATAACCTCTAAGATTAGCTCTAAGTCTGAGATTCTCTAATACTGGATTGACTTTTGACCTGAAGCTACATAAAATAAAAGGGAGACAACTTCAGGAGCAACAAGGGAATGTACTGATTGCCATCACATAATTCAAAGACCTTTCATAGGAAAACCAGCAGCAGGAGGACCCTGTGGAGAGACCAGCACTTTTGTCTTGGGAATCATTGACAAGGCTCAAACCCTGCACACTAAGGGAGGGAATGAAGACATGGCTTTGATGGCAGATTCAGAGCTAGCAGAGGACATGGTCCTTACCCAGAGACAGCAGGTTCTGGGCATTCTCCAGCATGACCTCCTTGTACAGCTCTTTCTGAGAATGGTCCAGGAGGCCCCACTCCTCCTCAGTGAAGTCCACAGCCACATCCTGGAATGTCACCAACTCCTAAACCATCAAAAGTCACATCATTTAGAGCTGAGACTCCAGAATTCATCTAGCCCAATTCATCAACTTGCATGAAGAAACTGAAGCACAAGAGAGATTTGGCCAAAACTCATAACCTTTATGATTGTCAGAGGGGAGATTCAAGGAGGAAATTGAAACACAGAAGGGATTTTCCCAAAACTTATATAACCTTTGTGAGTGTGACAGCCAACACTTGAAACCATAGCCATTAAGAGTCCAATGGAATGTTGAGGAAAGCATTTTATATTTGAAGTGAGAATCATGTTGGATTAATAAACGTGGGAGAAATGTCTTACTATGAAATGCTTTTCCTACAGAATCAAGGAAAAGGTATGTGCTCTACCAGTGAGGTATGGAGTCTGTGGAGGAGAAAGAGAGAAGGTGACATGAAATTCCTCCTCATCAAAAGTGTCGTAAGAGGTAGGTTGAGAAAATTCTATGAAGAGTTTGTGGGAAGCTGGCAAGCACTACGTATTCTAGGATGAACAAAACATTACCCAACATCACCGAGGAAACAACAAAGAAAACTAAGGTTGTAGGCAATTTCCTGAAAGGCTGAAATGGTCTTGTCTAGATGAAGGCATGAAGAGGACTCACAAGAGATGTTCCTCAGAGAAAAGAGAATTGAAATACTGCAGATGCATCCTTCTGAGCTCCCTATCACGATGTTCCCACCAAAGTGGATGCTGACGCCGTAGCATGGTGAGAGAAATATCCTAACCCCTGCCTCCACTTGAGGTAAGGTAGTTTTCTGCTCAAAGCGGTTGCAGCCGTTCTCAAGACTTTACTGGCTCACTGCATATAGCTTGTCTGCGTCATTGTCTTCCCCATTAGAATATGAGCTTGTTAACAGGGGCGGCCTTTTGCTTCCTCTGAATTTACAGTGCTTAGTACTGCGCCTGGCACACAGAGTAGGTGCTTAATAAATGTATATTGATCGGATGATTGGCTGGCAGAGGAAAAAAAAGAGAGATCGTACTGACTAGCTGGACTGCACTGAGTGGTATGGGACTGTTGCCAGCCAAGTGAAGAGCCACTGTTTTACTGAAAGCATGAGGTGACCCTAGGTACAACGTGTCATAGCTAAAGCAGTTGCCGTCTTTGCTTTATGATTGCTTTCACTTGTTCGTGGCGCCATTCCTTAATTCTCATGTTTAGTCATATAGAAACGAGTAACTATGATGGGGACATGTATTATTTTATTAACTGGGGCTGGAGATGGACCTAATTTGCAAGAACAACATTGACAGAACATCTATTAGGAAAAAATTATCTCTAGAACTCGATCACTGGCAATGAACAGTTAAGAGAATGAGTTCAGATACAAGAGAATGGCTACATCTGTAAAGCCTTGGGGAGGAGTCATCTCTTGTTCCAGTCTGCTACAAGTAGACCCCAAGTTTGGCCAAGGCACTTGGCATTTCATTCTGTTCCATTTCTAGCACAACTACATGATTCACTTTTCCAGAAGTTCTGTTACTTTAGAGCAATTCTCTTTCCTGTGGACAAAACTCTCTCCACTTTTTCATCATTTTGATTTCTTCTTTCAACCATGATTTCTGTTCTCTTTGTAATCTATATTTCACTTTTAACTTCCTTTATTTCTAATATTGAACTTCTTAACAATCAAAGAATATTAGTTGTTCCTTAATGTTTTAGATTCCCAAGCATTTATGGAACTTGGTTTTCCCCTGGGGTCTTCTGAATCATTATTCTGCAGACAGGAAGGCTGTACTTTAAATGTCTGATAATTAATCTATAACTGAAATCTTGAACTTGCTCCCACTGAAGCACTTCCCAGCCTTCTTCCTTTTCCACTGTGCCTCATTAATCCTTCACCGACATGGGGTGCGCCATGAACTCCAGACCTCCACTTAAGGGGAGATCTCAGCTCCTGTCTTCTAATTTCTTAGCTCCACCACTTGGGAGTTTTCCACCACATACCAGTGACTGGTGTCTTCTACACTGTCCCCCCCCCCAGTTCGTCTGCAGTCTCCCTTGAAAATGTAAACTCCCTGAGCATAGTCTTATGTTTTTTGTATTTGAAACCTTAAACCTTAGCACAGTGCCTGGCATACAGTCGACACTTAATAAATGCTTATGGAATACCTGCTTGCATTCTCTTCATCTCAAAACCATTCCATGTAATCTCACAGTGTCTTCTTTACCTCCTCCATTTCTGACCACACTTTTCCAGTCTCCTTCTATGATCCAGCGACCACATGACAACTCGGACTGGTACATATTCCCCAGGGTCCCCAGGGTCCTGAGGACCTCTGCTTGTCTCCATCTTGAATTGACTGAATTGAGACCTGGGAAGATGTGTATGAACTGAGGCAGAGTGAGTGCACAGGACCAGGAGGACAATTTCTGCTCTGCAGAAAACACAGACTTGTGTGTAGATGGAGGTGGGCTAAGCAAGCAAGAAGAGAGCAAAGCCGGGGGATGGAGCCAAGATGGCAGAGTGAAAACAGTGACTTGCTTGAGCTCTCCCCCCAAACCCCTCCAAATACCTATAAAAAATGGCTCTAAACAAATTCTAAAGCAGCAGAACCCAAAAAAAGACAGAGTGAAGCAAATTTCTACCCAAGACAACCTGGATAGTTGATCAAAAAGGTCTATCGCACCGGACTGGTAGAGGAGTGCAGTTTGATGTGGGTGGTCAGGCCACAGTGAACCTGGAGCAGGCCTCAGAAGATTGAATGGCGGGCAGCTGTGGCAGTTTCCAGACTTCTCAACGCAGGAACTCCAAAGAAAACTTAGAAGGTGAGTGGGAAAAGTCTGTTTCTGTGATAAGAGAGGAGCTAGGTCTCAGTGTCAGTTCAGGAGAGGATGGCCCCCAGGGCAGCCGCTGCCTCCTGAGCTTCAGGCCCACAGACTGAGGGGGAATCATGTGGTTGATCAGAGGGGGATTGCAGGGATCTCTTTGCCAGTGGTGAGGCAGGAATATCTTGCCTTGCCCGTGCTTGGATCTGGGTCACACTTCTGGGTGGCAATCCTGGGGTTAGGAGGAGCGCTGGCATGGTGGAGCTTATAGTGGCTGTGGAAAGGAAATTCTCCTCACAGTTCCGAGACAGAAAAGATTGCTTGTGGTTACTCATAGACCAGAGCATAGGCCAAGAAAGGAGTAAACACCTTGCCCCTTATCATACCACCTTGGAAGTACTGAAAATTTACAGGTCCTTACAAGTATCTGTGAAAACAGCTATACAAACACCTGAAGCTTGGGACAGCACATTCTCCACATTGGAAGCAGATTCTTACCTTAACAAAGAATCTAAAACTCAAATAATTGGCTGGGATCACGAGCAAACCTCGCAAACAGAGTCAGACTATATCATCTTGCTTTGGTGACAAAGAAGATCAAAACAGACAACCAGAAGATAACAAAGTCAAAGCTTCTACATCCAAAGCTTCCAAGAAAAATATGAATCAGTCCCAGGCCTTGGAAGAGCTCAAAAGGGATCTTGAGAAGCAAGTAAGAGAAGTAGAGGAAAAACGGGGAAGAGAAATGAGTGATGGAAGAAAATCATGAAAAACAAGTCAATAGCTTGCTAAAGGAGACCCCAAAAACACTTACAATAATCTAACCCAAATGGTAAAAGAGGTCTAAAAAGCCAATGAGGAGAAGCATGCCCTAAAAAGCAAAATTGGCCAGATGGAAAAGGAAGTTCAAAAGATTACTCAAGAAAACACTTCCTTAAAAACTAGAATAGAGCAATTGGAAGCTAGTGACTTTATGAGAAATCATGACACGGTAGAACAAATCCAAAAGAATGAAAAATTAGAAAACAATGTGAAATATCTCATTGGAAAAACAACTGACCTGGAAAATAAATCCAGGAGAGAGAATTTAAAAACTATTGGACCATCTGAAAGCCATGATCAAAAAAAGAGCCTAGACATCATCTTTCAAGAAATTATCCAGGAAAACTGCCCTGATATATTAGAACCAGAGGGCAAAATAGAAATTGAAAGAATCCACAGATCTCCTCCTGAAAGAGATCCCCAAAGGAAAACTCCTAGAAATATTGTAGCCAAATTCCAGAGTTCCCAGTCAAGGAGAAAATATTACAAGCCAGAAGAAACAATTCAAGTATTCTGGAAACACAATCAGGATAACACAAGATTTAGCAGCTTCTACATTAAAGGACTCAGGGCATGGAATATAATATTCCGAGGGCAAAGGAGATAGGATTACAACCAAGAATCACCTACCCAGCAAAACTGAGTATAATCCTTCAGGGGGAAAAATGGTCATTCAGTGAAATAGAGGAATTTCAAGCATTCTTGATGAAAAGAGCATAGCTGAATAGAAAATTTGACTTTCAAATACAGGACTCAAGTGTAACGTGAAGAGGTAAACAGGAAAGAGAAATTATAAGAGAATTATTAAGGTTGAACCGTTTACATTCCTGCATGGAAAGATGATATTTATAACTCATGAGACATTTGTCAGTATTAGGGTAGTTGGAGGGAAAAAATTATATGTAGATAGATAGATAGATAGATAGATAGATAGATAGATAGATAGATAGAGGGCACAGGGTGAGTTGAAGATTAAGGGGTCATATCTGGAGAATAGAATTAAGGGATGAGGGAGGATTATACTAGGAGAAGAAGAAAGAGGGAGGGAGAATGGAATAAATTATCTCACAAAACACAGAAAAGAATGGGATCTTACAGTGGAGGGGAAATGGGGGAAGGTGTGAATATTATTCTCATAGGATTTGGCTTTAGGAGGGAATAACATATACACTCAATTGGGTATGGAAATCTGTCTTACCTTACAGGAAAATAGGGAGAGAAGGGGACAAGAGAGCAGGGAGATGATAGAGGGGAGGGCAGATTGGGAAAAGGGGTAATCAGAAGCAAATACTTCTGAGGAGGGACAGGGTCAAAAGAAAGAATAGAATAAATGGGGGGGACAGGATGAAGGGAAACATACTTAGTTTTTCACAACATGTCTACTATGGAAGTGTTTTGCATAACTGCACATGTATAACCTATATTGAGTTGCTTGCCTTTTCAATGAGGGTGGGTGGGGAGGGAGGAAGGGAGAAAATTTGGAACCCAAAGTTTTAAAAACACATGTTTAAAAAAATGTTTTCACATGCAACTGGGAAATAAGAAACACAGGAAATGGGGTACAGAAATCTACTCTGCCCTACAGGAAAATAGAAGGGGAAGGGATTAAGAGAAGCGGGGGGGAGAGACAGAAGAGAGGCCAGACTAGGAGAAGGGGTATTCAGAATGCATGCCATCTTGGGGTGGGGGGAGGGGTGAGATGGGGTGAAAATTTGAAACTCAAAATCTTGTGGAAGTAAATGCTGAAAACTAAAAATGAATAAATTCATATTTAAAAAAACAAAAAGAAGTGAGCAAAGCCATGAGGCCTAGGGATAGGTACTGAGTGAAGTGGTCACCCTTGTCAGTTACTCCTAATGAGGAGGAACCTGAAAACAAACACAAAGAGCAGCAATTGGGGGGGGGGGTTGGTGCTCAAGATTAAAAAGTGCCACTGGTACACTTCAAAACAGAGAAGAAGAGAGCAGGGCAGTGTGGTTACTACTGAATTCAGTTTATATCAATTTTTGTAAAGAAATGATCCATAGGTAAGAGAAACAGCCAGCCTCAGAGATGATCCTCCGTGTTGATGGAACTGGCCACATGGGCTGATGTTGGTGAAGTCTGAGGACAGAGTACACTCACCTGGGCTGGGGGTCTGCAGCTCCCAGGGGCCATTCCCTCTGGCTCCAGTCTCCCTGCTTGGTCAGGCCTTGATCTTCTGCAGACTGAGCTGGGAAGGAACAAGGATCCCAGAGGGGTAGATGTCTTTTCCTTCTCTTCCAGGCAGAAGGCTGGCCTACAAGAATTTACAGAGGGTGAGGTGTCTGAGGAGTTACAGAGGCCCTGTTCCTGCCCACAGAGGAGAGACCCCAACCAACAGAGGAGGGCACCTGTGCCAGATTAGGAAAACTGGGTCTGCAAACAGAGACTATTTGCCACTCCCTGTGACTCCTTCTGTTTCACCTCATTCCCCTCCCCTTTGTCCTACAGAGACCCAAGAGGCAGAAGAGGCTTGGGAACCCAAATGGGAGGAGACCAGTCAGAGCCTCAATGACTCCAGACCCAGAGCTCTGCCTCCCTCTGATCCTATGGGTGAGATATGAAGGTGGAGCAGCTGTTCAATGGTAAGGGTGGGGATGGTGCCCCAGGACCTTCCAGATGTGATGGGGAGCCTGGACAAGTAGCATCGGCAGGGAACCGCCCTGGAGCCAGGCCTGGGAGGGAGGCCTGCTCCTAGCATACCTAGAGGACACTTCCCCAGAGTTCTGATGTATGTAGGAAACAAGCAAACATGTATTAAGTGCCTACTCTATGTCCTCCTCCTGGTTCTCTGCCTTGTTGAGGTGGAGAAGCCTGCATGGCTCAATGAAACTAGGAGCCATGGCCATGGTTACTGAGATGGACAGGCCACAGTGCAGCGTTCTGACAAAGGCTGACCCACTGGGGAAGGAAATGGCAAACCACTCCAGTATCTTTAACAAGAAAACCCAAGTATGGCATTAGAGTGTTAAGAGATGACACTGGAAGATGAGCCCCTCAGGCCCAAAGGCGCCCAGCGTGCTCCTGGGGAAGAAGAGAAGACAAGGCCAAGGAGCTCCAGAAAGAACTAAGCACTGGGCCTAAGCCAAAAGGAAGGTCGACCTGGATGCCTCGGGTGATGAGATCAAAGGCTGGTGTTGCAAAGATCAGTATTGCCCAGGAGCCTGGAGTGGAAGATCTAGGAACCAAGTCAACTGGATTTGGTCAGACAAGAGCTGGAGAGATCAAGGGGGCCATCGAGGGAGTCAGTGAACTTAAGTGGATGGGAATGGGTGCGCGGAATTCAGGTGATCATTAGTGGCCTTCTGTGGGCAGGAAGCCCTTAGGAAGCGAGAAGCAGGGTGAGAAAAGCAGTTCTGGGGTCCAATGGTATCTGTTGGAGTCCAAGGCAAATTGTTGACAACACAGCGATAGAAGACTATGCTTCAACCTCTGGCAGCCGAGTTCTCCCCCCATACACACACAGGGCAGCCTGGGGACCAGTGAGGAGCTCACCCAAAGCTGGGAGCTCAGTGTCCGGCTGCCAGCTCTGCACATCTGGAACCCCAGCGGCCCTTAGGTCAGACACAGGTGCCCAAGCACCAGTCCCTCCTCCACCACAGCTAGGGACATTCAGTTGTATGCACACACTCCCCAGCCCCAGCTGCCACACACTGGCACATGCAATCATACTCTCAGACGTATGCATCCCCCCCTCCTTGCCACCCAACACCTCCCAAGTCACAGGGATTTGCACAGGCACATGCAATCATACTCTCAGACATGTGCACACACCCCCTGTCCCACCCTCCCCCATAATACACATTTGCACCTGCCCTGGCCCAGCCCTCTTTGAAGATGCATGCATACAGCCATGCACATGCAATCCTACACTCCTCCACAAGGGCACTCCTTGCAGGGGCACCCCAGGTTCCCATGGATCTGTGGGGGGGGGGGCCCGGGGCAGTGCCTACACAGTGAATATCTCGGAGCCCAAGAACCAAGAGCAGAAACAACCACCCAGGAAGGTTTTGCCCTTATGCCTCCAGATTCCCAGCATGCCCTGGGGCTCAACAGGCAGGGGTGAGGAGGGGGATGGGGAGCAGGAGAGGGAGCCCCCTCTCCTCTCTCCAGTATCAGACAATTGGCTGTGGGGTTTGTGACATTATTCACCACCAGGCCCTGGGTCCCAGGCATTCTCTCCCCACCCCTTTTTCTGCTTCCTGTTCTGGGCAGTCCCCCTTTAGATTGTAAGGGCCTGGAGGGTGGGCCGTCCTGCATCCAGTAGGTGCCTAATGTGACCTTCTTGCCCCAGTGAGCTCCAAAGAACCCTGAGAAGTGGGGCTGTTATCCCATTCTTATAGAGAAGGAAACTGAGGCAGTGGCTAACAGCTGACTGGTGGAAGGCATAGGATCAGTTCTTTCCTCCTGGGCCCTTTGGAAAACACTCCAATGACTTTTCTTTTTGGGGAGCAGGGGGACTCCCCCCACTTTGGGGGAGCCTCTCCCCAGTTAGAGGAGTCTGGTGACTCAGGGGACAGAGTCTGGGCCTGGAATGGGAAGGTCTGAGACACTTAGGATGTGGCTGACCCTAGGCAAGTCACTTCACCTCGTTGCCTCAGTTTCCTCAACTGTCAGACCAGCTGGAGAAGGAAGTGGCCAAGCTCTCCAGTATCTTTTTGTCAAGAAAACCCCAAACAGGGTCAGGAAGGGTCAGTGCCCCACCTCCACGCCAAGGGCCTTTGCATCCTCAGTGCTTAAAAGAAATGGTCACCTTTCTATCCTTCTTCTTGCCTAAGGGTCCTACCTGACGGTGCCCAAAAGTCCTCTGTCCTCTCTGGACAGAGGAGCCTGGGAGAAAAGGACAGACACACACACATGAATGCATATACCTGTCACCTCTAAAACTGAAGGACCATACCCATCACCCGCTGACAATGTGGGTGCCACCCCAGGGTGGATAAAAACCCTGTCATGCACCTGTCTGGCTGCATCTTCTGCTGCCTTACTCTGGCCTTCCTGAGCAAGGACCCAGTCAATTCTGGCAACGGGATGCAATGAAATAATATTGAGATGGCTCCTGGCACACGGCAGACACCATGTGACCAACCCCTCAACCCTTTCCAGTCTTCTTACACCATACTCCTTGTCTCCTCCTCTCTGACCCAGGGACACTGGCCTGCTGGCTGATCCTTGACCAGACCCTCCATCCCCTGATGCTGTGCCTTCCCGATGGCTGTCTCTCATGCTTGGAATGTCCTCCCCCATCACTTGGGCCTCCTGGCTTCCTTCACATCTCAGCTAAAATCTCACTTTCTTGGACTTTACCTCAGAAGTGGCAAATAAGACAGATTCAGAGAGACCTGAGATGTGTTATGTGGGAGGCAGAAAGAAATGAGCAGAACCAGGACAATTTCGGCTCTGCTGACAGCACTGCAAAGGACAACCTGGCTCTAATGGGATAAAGCTTCCCTGGCTGTCTTGGCGTCCAGGTTCGCTGGTGCTGCTCAGGTCCATGGATGGACTGCACTCACCTGGGATGAGGGGCTCTGGGTCTCAGGGGCTATTCTCTCTGCCTCCAAGTTCTCTCCTAGGTCCAGGTCTTCTGGCTTTACAGGCTGAGCTGGGGTGGAGGAAGTCAAGGATGAAAGAGGGTCCTCTCTCTTCCCTAGACTTTGTCTAGTCCTTCTCTTCCTAGGCAGGTCTCTGGCCTACCAGGAATTATAGAAGGGGAGGTCTCAGAGGAATTATAAAGCCCCTGGCCTTGCCCTCAGGGGAGAGACTCCACCACCAGAGAAGGAAAACTGTTTAGGAAAAGAAGGTCTGAAAAAGAAAACTATTCCCCACTCTCTCAAACTCAGGGTCTTTGGCCTCATTGCCTTTCCCCATGCTCATAAAGGCACCCAAAAGGCAAAAGGGGCTCGGGATCCCACATGGGATGAGACCAGGCAAAGCTCAATGACCCCTGACTCAGAGGTGAGATATGAAGGTCGGGCACCTGTGACCCAAATGTAAAGTTGGGGGTGGCACCCCTGGATCTCTGGATGTGATGGAGAGCCTGGACAAGTAGCAGGGGCAGGGAGCACCCCCTTTCCCACTGTTAGAAGTATGCTTGACACCAAAAATTTAGTATCAATAAAGTTTATTACAGAGAAAGTCCAGAGGATTTCGATGTTTCTGGCCAGAAGGGGGCTCCACCCCTGAGTGCAAGGGCAAGTGTGCTTTTACTCAGTCAAATTCCTCTCCTGGGAGATTCTCTCTCTGCCTTTTTCATTCTAATCTCGATCTCCCCCAGAAAGCCTGAGAGGGGAGCTCTTTCCCACTGTTCCTGTTCCAATCTCAGACCTCAAAAATTACCCAAAAATTTTTCTGGCTGACACAAAACATTCATAGACAGACAGACAGACAAGGTGTGCATGATTCTACTTCTAACCTTGACCAGTCAAAAGAAACTCATTTTGTTCCAGGATCCCCTTTGCATGGGTTCCGAGGCTTTTCTTTTTTTTCTCCTTTTCTTTTCTTCTTACTTGACTTAAGAATATACCCTCCCCTGTTGGGGCTATAGCCCCTGGGTCCCAGCAACCAGCATAACCTTTTTCTTCTTGAGAGGCCTCTCATCATTTACATACAGATTTAGCAGTTGACAAATCCAATCCTCATCTGATCCAAATTTAAGCCAAAACACTGATGGTGCCAGGATAGGTTCCTTAGTTCACTCCTGGCAACAATATTTAGTCATTTTCTTCCCTCTAGTCCTGGGAGTGTCCTCCCAACTTTCTGACATCCTTCCCAGAGGGCTGGCTATCTGAAGGAAAGTCGTCCTGGGGATTTCTCCCCCTTTCCCAGGTACCTTCGAATTTGCCCCTCCCATCTCTGAATCTGTTCCTAGTTCAAGGCTAAGTGATCAGATCCCCGGACCTCAGGAGTTTGATACCAGCAAAGATTGTTTCTTACCTTTGCCCAATATATTGGCTCTCCTGGTCTGCCTGCGGTTTCCCCAATCCCCTGGACTTCTCTCACGTGGTCCAAGATCAGGAGTTCGATTGGGAAAGGCTGAACTCCCCCAGACCACTGAAATCCAGCGGGAACACTTTTCCCAGGATGTCTTACCTTGCCCCCTCAGGAGTCTGAGATCAGGCCAGAGAAAAGTCCAGAGTATTTAGATGTTTCTGGCCAGAAGCAGGCTCCACCCCTCTTCAAGCGGGGAGGGCCCTAAGTGCAAGGGCAAGTGCACTTTTATGCAGTTAAATTCAGCAGGAAACCTCCCAGGCCTGGATTGGTCCTTTCCTTCCAGGTTACATTTGTTCTGGAATGCCCCCTGTTCTGGCCCTATTGTGCCGACAATTGTGCCATCGTCCCCCACCCCTGCCCTGGGTGGAGAAGTCACTATGCCTGAGGTACACTCTCATTTTGATTTTGGGGTCTTCTTGGAACCATCAGCTTTAGGCTAAGCCCAGGCAGTGTAACTGCTTTCTTGACTTGTTTTTATAACTCTCTGCACTATTACACCTGTGGAAATGCAAGCCAGTCTAACTCTAACAGTGATATTCCAGGATGTGGCTGTGGCCTTCACCCCAGAGGAATGAAGCCTCTTGGACCATCTTCAGAAGGAGTTACATAAGGAGGTCATGCTGGAGAATGCCTGGAACCTGGTCTCCCTGGGTAAGGACATTTCCCCTGGCCACTCTGAGTCTGCATTCCCGAGTGTACTGAGTTTAAAGCATTTATCAATTACTAGAAGGGAAAAGTGCTGGTCTCCTGTGTCCAAGAGACATGGTCCTCCTGCTGCCTGGTTTTCCTAGAAAAGGTCAGTACACTGTGTGAAGAGAACCTGGAGGTTTCCTGGTTATTCCTGAAGCTGTCTTTTGCCAATTCTAGGTAGCTTGAGGTCAAAGATCAGATCACTGTTGAAGCATCTCAGATGTGGAAGTAATCCCACATTATGAAGTCCAGTCTCCCCCTGGATGTGAATTTTGTCTGCCAAGTCTCTGGAAACTGCTCTGGTGACTTTTCCTTGTGACCCCTTCCTCTTTGGGATGGCCCTACTGTATGGAACATTCTTCTTCAGGAGCCTCAATTTATAGCTCACAGCTCCTACATGTGCCTGCAATGGCAGGTTTGTCCTAAATCTTCCTTGACAGTGCCCCCATTCCAGCACAGGTGGTGGGAAAGACAGGAAGGGAATAAGCATTTCTATTCACCTGCTGTCCACCAGCTGTTGTGCTAAGTGCTTTCTTTACAATATTATGTCTTCAGGTGATATTATTATCCCCATTTGACATTTGAGAAAACTGAAGCAAGTAAAGGTTAAGTGAAAGGCACATAGCTAGTAACTGCCTGAGGCTGGATTTAAACCCTGGCTTCCCTGACTCCAGGCCCAGGGCTCACTCCACTGCACTACCAGCTGCCTCTAATTTCTAGATAATGGAAACTATGCAGTGAGCCCATCCTTCTATAAGGAAGGTGCACCAGGACCAAATTTTCTGATTCCTAATTGGCCCTGTGATCTTCTCACCCACCTCTCCCCAAAGTTCCCAAAAATAAATGCTGGGGAATCCTTGCTCAAGGAGTCCTGGGAATCATCCTGCAGTCCTTGCTTGCCAGCCCCTATCAACAGCAGGAATAACAGACTGGCCAAGAGTCAGAATTTGGACGAAGATTCATTGACTTCCCCAGCAGGAGAATCTCACCAGAAGAGGCAAAGACTACATGAATGAACAGTAACAAGGTGTTTATAGGTTTTAGGGAGTGAGGAACAGGGTAGGGGACAGGTCCAAAGCTGGTTCATCAAGGTCCCTTTTGCTGGAGCTAAAGGCTGATTAGGCACATCCTATTTTGGGTTACTGGCATTACAAGCATTGATAGGAGAAGAAGCCAGACATGTATGAATATGATGGAATGATCCTTCAAATGCAGGGCTTTGTATGCACACTCTTTTCCCTAAAGGAAGCTCAATTACAAGTTTTCTCTGTGTTCACCCCTGATTCCCCATGCCCAGGGCTGCCTGTTCCCAGAGAAGATTTGATCTCTTATTTTGAAGAAAGGGAAGCACCATGGCTACTGGAGCAAGAAGGCCTGAGGAGCTGCTGCCCAGGTGAGTGAAGTGAAAGCAGGTGGATGACAGCTGGGATTACAAGAGGCTTCTAGGTGTGGAGGTGAAGCAAGTGCTAGTTTGGGGGGTAGGAAGACCTGACTTGGAATTCTTTTTTTAGACACTTTTTATCAGTGGGTCCCTGGAGAAGTCACTGAACCACTGAGCCTTAGTTTCCTCATGTGTGAAATGAAGGAGTTGAAGACCATGGCCTTTAAGCTGTCTTCCAGTGATAAATCTCGATCCTATAAAATGTTACTGTTTTGAAATTGGGGGCATGGAACTCCCCTGAAAATGCAAAAAGGGGTTAGGCTTTCCATGGGCTCTTAGATCTTCTTCATTTCAATGAACATTTTTTAAGGGTCTGCTATGTGTTGTGCTAAGCACCAGTGATCTAAAGAGATATAAAGAACATCCCCTGCTCTCCTGGACCTCACAGACTGGTGGGCAGACAACACGCCAACAACAATATAGAAATCTGTTATGGATAGGACAGATTGGAGTTCATTGAGAGAAGGAAGGTACTAAAGTGAAGGACTGAGAAATGCTTATTGTGGAAGGGGGGCTTTAGCTGGGGCTTGAGGGAAGCCAAGGTGAGCATTCTAGGCATAGGAATGGTGAGGAAAGCCTGTGCAGTCAGGAAGTGGAGTGTCTTGTTCACAGAAGAAAAGGGAGCCCATAGCACTGGAGTATAGCATATTTGGTGGAGATATAAGGTAAAAGAAGACTGGAAGAGCAGGAGAGGGGTTGGTGATAAAAGGGTGTGTAATGGCAGTGTTGGGAGAGAAGGGGGCATATGGGAGAAATGTTACCTAAGTGGAATCACAGGACTTTGCAGCACATTGAATATGGGGGTCAGGAGTGTGAATTGTGCGAGTCAGTGAGGAGTGCATGACACTTCATTTGTGAGTCTGCACTATTGGGAAGATGCCTTGGAGAGCTTTAGAAGAGTAGGGAGATGGGACCATTGGGGGAAAAAATGTATTTAGTTTGGAGAACCAGGAGAGGAGGGTCACTTAAAACCCAGAGAGAGAGGAATGGGTGATTGACTGGGAAAGGCTACAGAGAGGTCAAGAAGGATGAGGATGAAGAAATGGCCAGTGGACTTAGCAACTTTGAGATTTGGGGCCCTTTTGGAGAAAGGAGTTTCCATTGGACAATGACACTGGGAGCTAGACTGCAGAGAATTTCAGAGAAAGCAAAGGAAAAGAGTTGGAGACACCAGTTGTAAATGGGCTTCTCCACTTGTTTAGCCAAGAAATGGAAGAAAGATATCGGAAAATGTCTCCTAGATTGAATGACTCAAGTGACAGTATTTTTGAGGATTAGAGAGAAAGGACTTTATTTGTGACAATGGGAAAGGAGTCATTAGTGTGGGAGAGACTGAAAAGTAGTGAAAGAAGGCGACGCCGGAGAGGCAGTATACTGAGGAAGATGTGCTGGAATGGGATGATTTACACATGGAAAGGAGTTTGCTTTAGCCAGCAGAGGGAGGACTGTTTTCATCTATTACTGGTATTTTAGAGGAAAAAAAGGCCCTTGATTTATTGGAGATGAGGAGGATAAGATAGCTCTTGTTAAGTATCCATTTTTTTTTAATGAAATACGGGGCAAATTTCTCTGCTGCGAAGGTGAGTGGCGAGTGGAGACAGTGAGAGCAAGAAATAAGGGAGGGTTGGGGAAGAATAAAAAAAATTGAAAAAGCTGCTCTGGTAAATGTAATAGGGAGTCAATTGTGATTATTAAGTCATTTTGTTTCTGACTCTTCATGACCCAATTTGGGCCTTTCTTTGCAAAGGTACTGGAGTGGTTTGCCATTTACTTTTCCAGCCTATTTTGCAGATGAGGAAACTAAAGTCAGCAGGCCTAAGTGACTTGTCCAGGGTCACACAGCTAGTAAGTGTCTGAGTACTCTATTCCCTTCAGCACCTAGCTGCCCCAAGGGAGTCAGTTAGGGAGGTGTGAAAGGATGGCCTTTCCACAGTGAGGGCCACACTGAGATTATGTAGCCTGAATGTGAAGTGGACCAGGCAGCCTGGTTTTATGATTTTCTTTCTGTCCATTCAGCAGCATGTAAGTAGTTGCAAAGGTTGCTGCCTTAGAATTAATTCAAAGCTGTGCTTTACAGAAATTATCAACCTGTGTCCCTCCCCTGATCTCTGAGGCTCAATCTTTGGCCCATTCTTGGACAATCATTGGCCAGATTCATTGAGTTGACAGACACTCTCAGTTTGGGGAAATGGGAGGCAGAAAGTCCCAGGTGTCCAATAGTATGAGATGCTTCAGGAGCCTAGAAAGAACTGTTTGTGGTCTTCACTATGGGTATGGTCAGGTTCCAGCAGGGTTAGAATCAAACAGAAGTCACTCAACATAGTGGATAAGGTGCAAAAAAGGACCAGAAATGAGGCTGGGGCCAGAACCTGCATTGCCCAACTAAGACAGAGACCAGAATACAGGGCTTGGGGTTGAGCCTGGGGCTGGTGTCAGCTCTGGGCCCAGTCATTATCAGTGAGCATGGATGAAGTGCCTCCAGTTCTCTAGGCACCTCGCTAAGCTTTAAGACAGGGAAAGCCAGTCCCTGCTGTCAAGGAACTGTCAACATGGCCTACAAACATGGAGATGGTTGAGAAGAAGCAACAGATCAGGAGCCTTGATCTTAGCTGGTCCAGGGAAAGGAGAGTGTTTGGGAATGGAGAGACATGTAGTTCAATAGGATATGAGGGAACTCAAGGGGTGAGGCTAGTAACAGTTTAAGAAGAAGAGTAGAATTGGGGAGGAAAGAGTCAAAATCAAAACAAGAATGAGAAAAATTTCAGTCACAACTGAGATATTGTGGGTTCAGTTCCAGAGCTCCGCAGTAAAGTTAATATTGCAAGAAAATAAGTCTCACCTGAATTTTTTATTTCTCTGTGTATATAAAAGTTATTTTTTTCAATATACTGTTGTCTGTTACATGTGCAATCCTATTACGTCTTAAAAATGTACATACTTTAATTTTAAAATATTTCATTGCTAATAAAAGCTATCTATCA